GGGTCCAAGTCGAGTCATACATGTATAAAGAAACCAATTGAGTAAAATATATAATATAAAGTTGAGGGATAAAATCCTTAATTGATTGTTGAAGGGGTGCGTAGTATTTAGAGGGTAGTCAACAAGTTAATCCCATATGAGATTTAGATATACATGCTAAAATTGTGGTAGGCCCACACCTAAGCTGTTTTGACCTGTCATTAGTACTATATTTTCCTAGTTTAAGTGGAAAAATTTGAGAAATCAATAAGGACATCGGCTCCATCAAACCTCAAAAATCTCTTTTCCTTGATATGGAGGTGGCCTGGGCCGGAACATATTCGTTGTTTTTTATGGCGCATAGCTCATAATAGCCTTTGTACCAAGAACAGCCGTTCTGGGGTCCAAATTCAGCACACATGATTGCTCTGGAATGACCTTGGAACGGCCCGTTCCAGATTTAGGAACGGCCCGTTTCGGGCCCGTTCCAAATAAGCTTTTACCCCTTTTTGGAGGAGTTTGGAACGGCGTGTTCCAATCTTGGAATGGTCTGTTCCAATCTTGGCACGGCCCGTTCCAATCTCGGAACAGCCCGTTCCAAATTAGGGTTCTTGGCTTTTTGGGAGCCTCGGAACGGCCCGTTTCGGACCTTAGAACGGCCCGTTCCGGGCCCATAAAAATATTTAATCTGTGCTTTTGGGCCCTCTGAAGTCCTGTCTTCTCGTTGGCATGCTTCGGGAGCTCCTTCCCTTCGTAACAGAGATCCATGTCCTTGTTTGTGTTCACCCGGACGAAATTGGGTGTCTACAGGTTTAGATAGAATTGGTGGAGTACCGAGCCGTTGTTTAAGCGTTTGGAAGGCCGTTTCGCATTCATCCGGCCACGCAAATTTATTGACTTTCTTCAGTAAGCCCAGAATCGGTTTAGCTACTTCGGCAAGACATAGGAGGAAGCGTGATAGTGCCATGAGTCGTCCGGCCAGTCGCTGGATCTCTTTCAGTGTTTGTGGGCTCCTCATGTCTACTATAGCTCGACATTTATCTGGGTTGGCCTCGATGCCTCTTGCCAATAGCATGTAACCAAGAAACTTGCCACTGGCAATCCCGAAGATGCATTTTTCAGGATTTAAGCGCATGTTGTGCTTTCAAAGTTGATGAAATACTTCCCTGAGATCGACCGAATGTGCTGCCACAGTTGCCGATTTGACAACCATGTCGTCAACATAAACCTCCATATTGTGTCCGATTTGATTTCTGAAGATCTTGTCCATGAGGCGCTGATAGGTTGCACCCGCATTCTTGAAGCCGAATGGCATCACCCTGCAACAATAATTAGCTGAGTCGGTTATGAAGGCTATTTTGTCTTCGTCTTGGGGATGCATCCTTATCTGATTATATCCCGAATAGGCGTCCAAAAATGACAAGATCATGTGGCCAGCAGCACCATCTACTAATCGATCGATATTGGGTAACGGATATGCGTCCTTTGGGCATGCCTTGTTCAAGCTGGTATAGTTAGTACACATTCACCATTTTCCACTTGGTTTTTTAACCATAACCACATTGGCTAGCCATGTTGTATACTGTATTTCCCGAATGAAGTTTGCTTGTAGTAACTTTGTCACTTCCTCCTCAACTGCATTTTTTTTGTCATTCCCCATCTTCCTTTTTCGTTGAGCAATTGGCTTAGCTTCTCAGCATATTGATAGTTTGTGGCACATGAATTCTGGGTCAATGCCGGGCATGTCTGAGGGTACCCATGCGAACAAGTCTTTGTTTGCCCGAATCACCCTGCTGAGATCCTTCCGGTTATCATCTGACAGGCCGGCGCCGATGAAGGTGACCTGTCGTGCTTGCGATCCAATCTATAGCGGAACCTTTTCCTCTGTCGGCTCTACATGTTCTTCATTGTTCATTCTTGGATCTAGGTCCCAAGCTGAAAAGTGTGATTCGGGAGTCATTGGAGAAGCTGCTATGTTGTGTACTCTCTTGTGCTTAGGTTGCACCTCTTCTCTGGGAGTTATCCGCAGGCTAGAGAAGTAACATTCCCGAGCTGCTTTTTGATCAGCATGGATTGTAATGATCCTTCCTTTGTCAGATGGGAATTTCATTGCCAAATGTGGTGTCGAGACGATTGCCCCCAACATGTTTAACGATGGTCGTCCGAGTAGAATGTTGTAGGACGTGTTGGCATGCACCACTATGTACTTCACTTGTATTTCCCTGTACTCCTGTTCATCAAAACAAAAACGAGTAAAGAGTTTAATGTACCCTTTAGTGCTCACCCTTTCGCCCGCAAAGCCGACCAAGGGCTCATCATATGGTAAAAGTTCTCTCTCGGAGATGCCCAACTATTTGAAAGTGTTCCAGTACAGGATATCTGCCGAACTGCCTTGATCAACCAAAGTTTTCTTGATTATGCAATTATGAATCTCGACACTAATCACCATTGGGTCATCCTGTACGGGGTCAATGCCCTGGAAATTGGCATCGGTGAACGTTATAGCTGGTGGTCTCCGAGGAGGTTGTCTGTCAACAGCATGGACCGACCGGACGGCGCGTAGATGTCTCTTTTGGGCTAAAGGGGTTGGGCCTCCTCCGACGAATCCACCTACTATTGTGTTAATGACACGCCTATGTGAAACGGTAGGTTCGTCTTTCTGTTCGCGCGATCTGCTCCGTTCACGCCGAGGTCTTTTGGAATGGTCTTGCCTATGCCGAACTTGATGTCGGGGTTGATATGAAGATCGAGGCCGAGATGATCCTGACCGATCCATGAAATTATGAAGTTGTCCCTGTTTAATCAACTCTTCAATTTTATCCTTTAGAGTAGCACACTCCTCAGTAGAGTGTCCCCGATTTCGATGATACCTGCAAGATTTGCTAGTATTAGCGCGTGGTGGAGTGGAGGCTATTTTCGGAACTTCCAGTACCTCGGACGCCAAAGCTTGTTCTAGCACGGCCGCCCTACTAGCATTTAGGGGTGTGTAATGAGAGTACTTCGGCCCGCGCGCGGGACAGTCTCGTAGTGTTATTTCCTTGTTTCGTCCCCGAAATGGTTGCTCCGCCGTCTTCTCGGTTTTTGCCATGGCTTCGGTTCGGGCTTGGTTCCGGAATTCAGCTAGCTCCTCCATTTGCATATATTTGTCAGCTCTCCTCCGTAGATCGTTCATGTCTGAAGGGTTTTTTTTGCAAAGGCTATTGACAAATGGCCCGGGCTTCAAAGCTGTTGTCAAATGATGGAGTGCTACAGCTGGATTAAGATCCCGGATCTCTAGTGCAACCTTGTTGAAGCGATTCATAAAGGTCCGAAGTGATTCCTTCTTGTCTTGCCGAAGGCTGATCAGCGACAGAGAGGTGAGGTTATGGGGGCGACTTGTTGCAAACTGGATAGTGAACTGAGAAGACAGGGTATTGAACGAATCGATTGAATTTGACGGGAACCGAGTGAACCAGCTCAAGGCTCTGCCTTTGAGGGACGTCGGGAAAATCCAACATAGGGCAGCATCATCTTTGGTGCTCAAGGTTACCTGCGTGAGAAAAACATCAAGATGTTCATCAGGGTCCGTTGTACCATCATATTTATCAATTGGTAAGGACTTCCAGTTATCCATCAAAGGTAACTGCATGATAGAGGGTGTAAACGGGTGTCGGTGCGATCCCACTGTTGCCAAGTCGGTGGGACGTCCGACTGTCGGTAGGGCCGAATGAAACTTTTCAGGTGCAGCGACCGAGGCATGCAGAGCCGAATTATGGATGTCATGGGACTGGTAGGACCCTTGTGTTTGAGTGTTGGTAGGCTGGGTAGGTTTCCATGACGGGTCTTGATTTTTCAACGCCTCGTTTTCGGCTCTCAAAGCCGAAAGTTCCTTTGCATCTTTCTGCCGTTGTTGTTTCATCGTGGCCAGCTCCTGCTTGAGTAGACGAACGGCCTCAGAGAGATCAGTTTCGTCTACAACTTCAACATGTTCTTCCTCTTCAGTCTGGTGATCTTCTGCGTTCATTCTCCTTGTCTTCGTCATTGCTTTGCTTCGTTAATCTTTACAACTGTCTCGGTTCGGCCCCACGGTGGGCGCCAAAATGTACCTGTCTGAAGGGCACACTAGTAATCTTCTCGTATTCTGAGGGCCGAACGAGGGCTCCGATCGAATATTCTGGTGAGGCGGGGAGGTACCTGCAAAAGGCACTCCGACGCTCAAGTCAGGACAAAGCACAAATATCGATAGTAATTAATGAACATTGACGTTACCTTGTGATATGAGCTATTTATACTGACATTGATGGGCCCGGACTCCCATGGGCCCTGCAACAGGATTAGCATATTAGGTAATACGTCTCTAATCGGTTTACTGGTGTAATTAGTCCTTAACTGTTAATTAGGGGTAATCTCTAACTGTTAATTAGGGGGATCTGGACTTATGGATTATCTGGTAGCCGACCGGCTGTCGGTTACCTGGTTCGGCCGTTTGGGTGCCGATTGGGTATCGGTCACTTGATGGCCGAATGGTCTTACTAGTACAATATTTATGTATATTCTTCTTTGACTTAACATTTATATTTTTTTTTAATTTATGATTTTGATGAGTTTTATGATATGCAATTCTTGGTCAATTATATCAACTCAATATTTCATGGCTAAAAAAAATTATATTTTAACCAAATAAATATTTCATAATATTAGAATTTATCAAACACATTAGATATACTTTATATACTAGTGAGAAAAAAGACAATATTGCTGCATTAATAACAAAGGTTATGTATAATTATTAAGAGTAAAATGAGAAAGATAAAAAAGTGAAACCGTTCAAAAATTATATTATAATTTAAAATTTAAATTAATTACGTTATTTGATTAATCTTGATTTTTGTAATTTTTTAACGTTCAAATTGCAAAATTATTATAGAATTGCTGGACGTGACCAAGTTTTGCCTTTTACAAATTGGTTAATATCAACGATACCTTTTATCTTATCCGTTGGTTCTTGTTGTTACCAAAAAAATGAGGAATCATGGTGCACGTGCTTTGTCATGCTTATAACTGTCTAATATTGTGCCTATATTTATGTACATTGGTACGTGAGGAAACACATATCTATCTACACACACAAGTTCACTTATCTCTTTCTCAAAATTATTTCTATTACTAAATATATTTTGGAGCGATGTTCTTTAGTTCGGGAATCTTTCGCTGCACTCAAACGGTCTAACGGGTTGACGTATCTTGGGAGAGGAGCGAATTATAAGACTCTAAATTATTGGTGCAGTGGGAGCGTTTTCTCTCTAAGGATAATGCTCTGTGTGCTTCAACCCAAGCTACTCTAAACCTATTATTTAATATTTTAATTTGCTCTGTGTTTAATTAGTTGTTACTGATTTTTTTATATTTAATTTTATAGTATTCATTGTGTTTGTTGATATTGGTTTTATTGATAAATCTAGAGATGTTGTTATAATATAATTATGAAATCTAGAGATGTTGTTTTATAATATAATTATGAAATCTAGAGATGTTGTTTCCTTTGAAAATATTTTTCCTTTAAAGAATAAATTATCTAAACCTATTTATGATACTTCTAGCTCTATTTTACCTTCTAGTAGTATTGTTAACAAGGATTTTGAACCTAGAATTAGTAAAAGAATTAGAAAAGCTAAAGATTTTGATCCTGAATTTTATTCTTTCTTATTTGAAAATGATCTTAAAACTTATAGTGAAGCTATGAGGTCTGTTGATGCACCTTTTTGGAAAGAAGCCATTAATGATGAAATAGATTCTCTTAAAATCAATAAAACTTGGTTTTTGACTGACATTCCTCCTGGCTGCAAGAGTATAGGTTGTAAATGGGTTTTTCAAAAAAAATTAAGAATAGATGGCTCCATAGATAAGTTTAAGGAAAGACTTGTTGTTATTGGTTATAAACAAGTAGAAGGTGTAGATTTCTTTGATACATAATCTCTTGTTTCTAAAATTAGTACTATTAGAGTTTTGATTGCACTTGCATGTGTTTTTAATTTGGAAATTCATCAAATGGATGTAAAAATCGCCTTCTTAAATGGTGACTTAGAAGAAGAAATTTACATAAATCAACCTGAAGGTTTTATAGAACCTGGAATGGAAAATAAAGTTTGCAAGCTTGTTAAATCCTTGTATGGTCTAAAATAGGCTCCTAAACAATGACATGACAAATTTGATCAAGTTGTTTCTTCATATGGATTTCAATTTAATAATAGTGATAAATGTGTTTATGTGAAACAAATTGATGATAATTCATGTGTTATTTTATGTCTCTATATGGATGATATTTTGATCTTTGGTAGTAATCTACATGTTATAAATGATGTGAAGTCTTTCTTGTGTAGTAATTTTGAAATGAAGGATCTTGGTGTTGTTGATGTTATTTTAGGTATTAAGTTAATTAAATATCATGATGGTATTGTTTTGACACAATCACATTATATTGAAAAATTATTAAGAAAGTTTAATTATTTTGATGTGAAACCAGTTTCTACCTCATTTGATTCTAGTATTAAATTGAAGAAAAATATCGGTGAAAGTGTCTCTCCTCTTAAATACTCTCAAATTACTGGTTCCTTGTTGCATTTGTCTAATTTCTCAAGATCGGACATTGCATATGTCATTGGTAGGTTAGGAAGATATACTCATAATCCTGATCATTTACATTGGCTTACTCTAGAAAGGTTATTTAGATATCTTAAAGGAACTATTAATTATGGCATTCATTATGCATATTATCATGTTGTAGTTAAAGGTTTTAGTGATGTAAATTGGATTTTTGACTCTGATGAAACTAAATCTACTAGTGGTTATGTCTTTACTTTAACTAGAGGTGCAGTAGCTTGGAAATCTGCAAAACAAACTATTTCTCGTTTTACTATGGAAGCTGAAATAATTGCCTTAGATACTACTAGTAGTGAGACTGGATTTCTTAAAAATTTATTATATGACTTGCCATTATTAAATAAACCTATACCTCCAATCTCAATGCATTGTGATAGTCAAGTTGCTATTGCTAAAGTTACTAGCAAAAACTTTAATGAAAAAAGAAGGCACTTGAGAATAAGACACAAATCTATCAGAAATTTGATAACTCATTGTATTATTTCTGTTGATTTTATCAGGTTTAAAAGTAATCTTGCGGATCCACTCACAAAAGGGTTGACACGTCAACAAGTACTTGAATCGTCGAGAGAAATGGGACTAAAGTCCATCAACTAATTACAACAATGGACATCTGTCTCCACATAAATAACAATCCCATAAATGGAGTTTAATGGGTCATAATGAAATTGTTAACTAAGTACACCATCGTGAACTGCAAAATTATTGCATGTTCCATTCCTATGGTGAGGTGTACTCTAAAGTAAACTGTGACAGTAATAAGGTAAAGGTATTTAAATATTTATATTTATTGTCTTAAAATTAAAAAATACTTCTTAATGGACCCAATGACAATTGTTGTAGGGGTGTGTGTCATAGACCACCCTTGGAAGGGTTCACCTAGTGAGTGTGGTGGTGGGGCCGCTATTGTGAAATATGAGCAATCTCTAAGTAGCACTCACGAAACAAGATACATGCACAAGGCCGTAATGTACTTCACTGATTAGAACTCAAATGAACACCTTTTATTATACGTGTTATGTTCTAAAATTTGGTTAAAGGGATATGGCTCAAGACAATCATGTCTCCATATTCTCTCATATGGAAGTTCATATGCACTAGATATAAGGCTCAAACCCGAAAAGTTCCATGTACTGAAAATATAATATATCATGCTCCATTAAAATGTTTAAGTTTATATATATATATGTCATCTTTTTCCATATTTAAAATTTAAATTACTGGGAGATTATTGAGAAATTATATTATAATTTAAAATTTAAATTAATTACGTTATTTGATCAATCTTGGTTTTCGTAATTTTTTAACGTTCAAATTGCAAAACCGTTATAGAATTGCTAGACGTGACCAAGTCTTGCCTTTTACAAATTGTTTAATATCCACAATACTTTTTATCTTATTTGTTGGTTCTTGTTGTTATGCTTTGTCATGCTTATATCTGTCCAATATTGTGCCTATATTATGTACATTGGTACTTGAGAAAACACATATCTACACGCAAAACAAGTTCACTTATCTCTTTCTTAAAATTATTTCTACTACTAAATATATTTTGGAGCGATGTTCTTTGGTTTGAGGATCTTTCGCTGCACTCAAACGGTCTAACGAGTTGACGTATCTTGGAAGAGGAACGAACTATAAGACTCTAAATTATCAGTGCAGTGAGAACGTTTTCTCTCTAAGAATAGCGCTATGCGTGTTCAACCCAGACTACTCTAAACTTATTATTTAATATTTTAATTTTCTCTTTATGTTTAATTAGTTGTTGCTGATTGTTTTGTTTTTAATTTTATAGTATTCATTGTGTTGTTGATATTGATTTTATCGATAAATCTAAATATTTATTTTTTCTTGTACTCTATTAAATTTATTTTTTCCAATAGAAACCAAATGAGGAAATCTCTTTAACTATTAACATACATTTTATATGTGCAATTTACACAAATAGTTGTAAAACATGGATAGTTTTCTATGATTTTTTTTAGTAAAACAGTAGATAAAAGATAATATCTCATAACTATCGAAACAAAAAGTCAATGGCATATTAAGCATCTTTGGACCATATAACATAGTCTACTTAGTGATTAATCAAAAGTTAGTGATATCCAATTTGACTTAGGACATTCAAACTAAAAATCAATAGAGATAAATTAAAAGAATTTTACCTCTAATATTAAAGAATCATTTTGAGTAAATATGCCCACAAAGCTAAATTTTAATGGGGCTGTCAAACTCCCGAAACACAAGTTTGAGCTGAGTATTGTACTATTTGTGCCATCTTGCGATAGTCCGATGGTTGTTTCAAGTCTGGCTTAGGCCGACTTATCCTTTAAATTAAAATCTTAAAAATCCTTTCTCCGAAACACCAATTGTAAAACTTAGATAGTGGTTTCCATTTGGTTTCAATTAAAAAACCTCCAAAACACAATATCGATATTCTAAAAGTTTGAAACCCAAACCAATAAAAGTAAACAAGGTAGAGGCAAAACGGTGCTCTAATACCAATGCTAATAACCATAGAACTCTAACCATCAGAGTTCAACAAACATGAAGTACCATGGGGGAGAATGCAAACCGAAACTCCCTCACACAATCTATCAGTATACGTTGCTTTAGATAATAGTTTGAATTAAGTTTGTAAAATATACCATATTCATTAAATTCAGGAAATGCCACTCAGTCAAGCAGACAAAATATATTCTTACAAGAAGATACCTAGTTCGGGTCATGACTGTTCCATTAGGAAAAAGAAAAATGGGCCAAGAATGTTTCAGACAATCCAACTTCAAGAAGAAGAGCGATTTCACATGCAGGTTCATTCGGTTGCCTACACAGATATGCCTGGTCCTTATTGGACGATGTTTCATCCACGACAAGTAACAATGACGAACGAAAGAAAATTCTTTCTTTGATTGCATTAGTTTCTATTTACCTGATTTGGAATTATTATGTTACTAATTTGATTGTTCATATCTGCATCTATACTTATAATAGTTATCACCAATATTTCAACCGTTTCCTTTTGGTTCAATTGTTTCAGGGACAAAGTAGCAGCTTCTTATAATTAACAAGCGCAATTGCATATATTAAGCACCAATTCAACTTGCTTATCCGATTTTGATATATTAAGTTCCAATTAAGTCAATTGAGTTCTTCAAATTTTCACTTATTCACAATCAAACCTTCTATCTTGATTCTATTCAAAATTTAGGCAACAACCTAAAGCTGACATAACAATGAATACATAGAATCAATTACAAAGAAAAAAGGAATTTTCAGAATTAAGGAGAATGGAAAACTAGCCTTTCAATCTTCGAATCGCTTCTTGATATAATTCCTGAGCACTTCCCTGCGAGCCTTCACGCGCTCCTGCTGAGGAGCCACGTTAAGAAACGAGAAATAAGCTCCGACGGCGAACAAGGAAGCGCCGGCGACAAACACGCCGCCACTCACCGCCACCTGCCTCGCCGTGGGCGGCCACGACCACACCACCATTCACTCCACTTAATAGAAACAAAAAAATAGAAATAAGATTAAGAATACAAACCACACCACTGTTGTGTAAACATATAAAAAGAATAGCACTAATATGATATGGGCTGGGCCCATTAAAAGAAGGCCCAATACCGGTTGCACACGAGTTCTACAAAAACCCTAGTTTCCCAGTTTCCCTAGCCTCAAAGTCGGTAAGCTGTGTTTCTCCTGCAAGCAATATGGGGCGCGTTCGCACGAAGACGGTGAAGAAGTCGTCGCGGCAAGTGATAGAGAGGTACTATTCGCGCATGACACTTGATTTCCACACGAACAAGAAGGTTCTGGAAGAGGTGGCAATCATTCCCTCCAAGAGGCTGCGGAACAAGATCGCGGGATTCTCCACGCACCTCATGAAGCGGATTCAGAAGGGTCCCGTTAGAGGAATATCGCTCAAGCTGCAGGAGGAGGAGAGGGAGCGTCGCATGGACTTCGTCCCCGATGTCTCCGCCATCGCCACCGACCACATCGAGGTCGACAAGGAGACCCTCGACATGCTCGCCGCCCTCGGAATGTCCGAGATTCCCGGCGTTGTCCAGGTCGATCCCGTCCCCGTTGCCGCGCCGCTCCCCTTCGCCCGTGGCGCCGGGAGGAGGTTTTAATGCCTGAATTCTCGGTTTTGGTCGTGTTGTGTTTTAGAGAACTAATTATTATGCTGAGTTTTGTATTACTTTTTTGTTTTCTGTAGCAGGGATTCGGTTGTTGGACTTGTGAAAGTGGTTAATGGAATTTATTTTTGTTCTGCTGTGTTACATTAAATTTTGTCTCGGTTTAAATGGTTGTGTTGTTTCTATGCTAGGTTCAACTTGTGCCTTCACTTGCCATGAACTTGAATATTCGTGAGGAAAAATGAAATGAATTAAACTTGGTTTTATATGCAATAATATCACACGCACTTTTGTTGCTTTCATTCACTATTACATGAGGTTCTGGATCATGTGGGGATGAAACTATAGTATGACCTTAGGGTTTGATTCTGAGCGTTCTACAATGCTGCTAAAATTGTTGGAGCACGGGTGCTATACATGTTGTGTTACCCTTTTATTACCAAAATGTGAAGAGCTTATATTAGGATTGTTTATGTTTTAATTTCTCACCATTTATCATCTTAGCCGTAATATCTTTCAATTTGCATTTCTCTTGTTAGAAGTGTGCGTGTTAGAATGTGAATGATATTCTTTTATAAGAATTACGATGTTTGCATCAAGATTTGAATCTTACACTGCATCCTACTACCAGGACAGTGAATATTTTTTCTCTTAAGAAATATAAAATTACAAAATAACCCAGCAATTAGATTTTCCTTTTTTTGGGTCTAAGAAACATAAATTGATTCAATACAGACGATATTATGGTTTGATAATGCTACTCTTTTTTTTTTCCTGCTCATCAAACTATAGTGCGATTTTCATAATAATTGGGTGAAATTACTTGGTACTGCACATTGTAATGTCTCCGATTTGAAAAGAAAAGAAGTTTGATAAAATTAAATTTAATTGGGATGGATTAAGTATCGTTTATATGTTTTTAAACATGACCCAAAGTGATTTGCTCGAATTCTGTTTGAATTATACATTGGGTCATTGAAGATTTTAGGTAGAAGAAATTTGTTAAGAGACTTAAAGATGCTTAATTTTAAAAATAGAGATTTGATTAACTTGAAAAAATTAAAGGACTAAAATCATAATCTAACTTAAAAAGAATAAATATGTAAGTAAATCAATTAAAACATTTTAGGTTGATTTGAATTCTTTAACTGAATTTGAAAGTGCATGATTTAATACTCGATGATAATAATCGGATTACATTCTATGATCAAATCAACTCTCTCTCTCTCTATATATATAAATTAAATCAATTTGATTGAGTTTGGTTGATCTAGTTCGTAGTTGAATTAAATTTATGATGGTCCCATTTTGAACGATACCCATATTTTCTAAAGTTGCATTGATGTCATTTTACATAATGAAAAAAAAAATGTTTTTTCATAGTTTGCTTTTCCGATTCATAAAATTTAAATGATCTTTTCACACAATTTAGTCTAAAGTGATTTTCTCGTGGCTTAAAACCAATTTTTTCATTAAGCATGTCCTCTCATTGGGTTGAACGTCTATTTGATTGGATTAAACTGATAATCAAATAAGGAAAAGGTGAGCCATGAAATGAAACACGTGAGTTATTGCCTGATGTGGATTGTGTATAGGTCGTGCTGGTGCTCTACCATTGCTGCGGTGGCTCGGTGTGACTAACATTTATTTCCTATCGTGTAGGTCACATTTTCGTAGCTGAGTGTACACCAAAAAACAAAATCATAGCTTAAATTGATTTTTTTTTAATTTTAAATATATTTTTAATTCTTTAAATTTAAGATAAATTTATTTTTAATCATTCAAATTTAAAGTTAATTTTTTTAATTTTTATAATTTTAAAAAATCTTATTTTAATCTTATATTTAATTTTTTTTAAAAAAATCTATCAAACACTGTCACAAAATCTACTTATCAATATCTCTTTTAATGAAAACATAACATTAAAATAGTTTGTCAAGATTTTTAAAAATTACATGACTAAAAAAAGTAACTTTAAAATTTGAAGGATTAAAAATAAATTTATCCTCAATTTAAAAGACTAAAAACATATTTAAGTCTATTTTTATAAATAGAAAAAAAATATAATAAAATATATTTTTCATAAACTAAAATTAAATTATATAAATTAAATGTGTTTTTTAGAAGATAAATGAAAGAATTGGTACAAATTAACTCATAAATAAATTGACCATAATTTATAAGAAAACTTAATTCATTTTGATTATTTTTTTACTTATATTTAAATTTATACAAATAGGGTATCGGATAACATTTTTTGAAGTTCAAAATAAAATCGCTTAAAGAACCAAATCATAAGTAATATGTTTTTTTTCTTCAAGTTATTGTTATAGGTCAACTTTTGTGGTGCATCACCAATTCATTTAAGTAGGAGTGTAGGACCCCAAAACCACCTCCACAACTTCAACTCGTGACATTGTACGATATTTTAATTTGAGTTTGAGAGAAAGAAAAAAAAATGGAATAGTCAGCAACAAAACGCACATAGGACTTGAAATAAATGGAAACCTGAAATTGGTAGCAGAGATGGTCACCTAAAACGTAAGTTATGCTCTTCTTTCCAAACCAAATTATGTGGTTTTCATTCTGATAAAAGTCTAATTTTTGTGTTCTTCTACTACTTACCAACTTCTGCTTCTACTTAAAAAAAGGCTTTATATGCTATTTTGGGTTTCTCTGTCCCTTCACATCCCATTTTATTTTACATGAGTGGGAAAAGATGAATGACTCAAATGAAGTGCATATATTTATGCTAATTACAAGAGTTGATCATTCCAACAGAGCTAATAACCCGCGGCATCAGATGCAAATTATAAAACTGCCTTGAAGTTTGATGTGTTACTGCAGTTAATTTGTTTATAGCAATGTCTAGACTTTGGGCCCTGGTTTGTCTGCTGTTGTTAATTGTGTTCACATCACAGTTTGAGTGGAAGCAGCAAATTCATAGTGAAATTGAAGCCAGACCTACCACGTTCCAGAAACTGAAAAAAATACCACAAAATGAAGAATCTGTGAAAGAAAAGGTGAGTTTTTTTTTTCTTCTTTTTTTTTTTTTTAATAATTCTTTTGGATACCAAATAGAGACAAACAAAACATTAGTGTTGGACACTGCATTAGAATGCACTAGGCTAGATTTAATTTACACGTTGACTTATCTTTTTCATTTTGCAGTTGTTCATGGTACATTTGTTTTGGTTATTGATATATCATATAGATGGAAGAAACAACCGTATTGTTCTTGATTTATCATTTGTAATATGAGGGTTACTAGAAAGAGTTTTTAGGAGAATGCAACATAAGTGCATAACTCTGTTGTGTTATCTTATACATGATACGCATATTGGTCCTCACTCCTCAAGCATCATTTGCATTCTCTCTCTCTCTCTCTCTATCTCTCTCTTATTGTGGCTTCTTCTAGAGTTTCGAAATTCCGAAACAGAGTTTTGTGTCAAGAATTAAACTCCTTGGTGCTATCTTGTTTCTATGCAGATCATTCTCTCTCAAGAGAAAAATATTCAGAGACTTCATGAGCTTGTTCGGAGTCTTCGTGAACAGTTGGTACAATGTAAGGTTGGTTATGAGGTTTCTAATGTCGCCACAAACCCTTTGGTAGAATTTCTATCTGAATTGGAGTAATAGCCATTCTTAGTGTTAGAGGACTAGTTGTGGATCACACATGTTGAACAACTTATATATATGCAAGTTTAAAAGCCTTGTTTCTTTTTCTAAGCAGTTCTTGATGAGGTTGTGTGTACAACAATTGCATCAATTTGTGCCACAATTTTACATTTGATCAATTTATTATGATAGATATATTTTTGCTCAGCCAGTCTGATACCACATTGCCCTCTAATTCATTTCTGTCATTTTTGTGATCAAATGTTAAAGTATTCATGCATTTGAAGTCTTGAGTGAATTGTTTAATTAAATAGGCAATTCTGAGTAAATCAGAATGTATACGTAAGATTTTAGGTGGGTGGTACAAATCGAAATGTATATTATTAATTGAATATGTAGCTGGCATAAAGAAAATAATAATAAAAAAAATCGAGTAAACCATGAACATGTGTGTAAAGTGATTGATGTTTGATAGGTTCATGAGTAGATAAATGTTTTGGTAGTCGTTAACCTGTCACCGAGTTTTACTTTCAATTTGAATAATGTCTTTTTATGTTATTGTTCTGGTATGAGGCATAGGTCAGGAACTTATGAGTGATTGCTTTGCTTGTTTGATCGAGTATGGGCCATTGTTGCGGGCCCAACGAGTTTGCACCTATGCCTATCATAGTTCTGGCTACTTTAATATAGCTTTGGTATTTTGGAGGTAAATTCAATAAACTCATAAATTTTTTGATGAGCTCGATTATCTCAATCGACAGTTAGGAACTAATTTATGGAATTACTGATACCATTTAAAAATTGTCTTCTTTTAATAAATGATTTTTTAAATATACAAATTTGGAGACCGAATCCCTAATCACATGTTGAAGGAACATGATTTGATGCTAACCATATGTCCATACCATACCATACCATGTGACTAACAAACTTGTAGGTTAAAGCAATGATAAAAGAAATCATATTAAACCCTTTCTCTGAAAAGATCATATACTTGAAAATGGCTGAGAGCTCTCTCAACACGCTTGGCTACTCAGTTCATGCTGCAATGCCCTCAAAACTGGACACGGTTTCTACATGGTTAAATTTGACCCAGAAGGTGATTGGAAGAAAGTGCATTGTGGGGGATCATAGATGATTTTTGACCACGATGAGGGATTGTACTCCTAATTTTGTGGTGTCTATCACGTCTTCTATCCTACATGCATAAATTTAATAAATATTATATTAATTTTTTAAATAAACTAAAATTCAAGATAGAGTTATCACATTAAACGAAACTCAACATTAAACAAAAACTAAATCCGAAAAAATTATAGGAATTAAAATTGAGTATTAAAATAACTTCAATTAAATAAATCTAGATCTGTAATTCAAATACTATCAAAAAATAAAATTTCTAACTAAACTCCAATGTCACATTTTATCAAAGCATTCCAACATAAAACTTAGACTTCTCCGATATATTCAAATTCACCTACATAATCATAACAAAATAAATCACCAAAAGAAAAAGAAAGTGAAAAACATCTCATTCTAACTACTGGTGTAGAATATGGTTGAGTAGGCTTACACATACATAACAACAAGTAGGCATATAAAACAACAACAATAATACTAATCACATACATAATTTTTTAATAATCAAAGCATACCAAGCAACATACTTAGTCACATGATGCAACAAGGCTTGCTCTACACATCTCAATATTCATCCAATTCATATTTAAAAAACAATGAGTATGCTATGATCATGCAATAGACAAGACCTTCTTAAAACTATAAACACGTGACACCAATAAAATCACTTTATCATGGATTGAAGGCCTAAGTAGCCTACGAATACATGTTGGGTTAAGCAATCATAATACTCTACACTAAGAGACTAAGACTCTCAAACCCAATTGTCTTCAAGGTCATGAATCCCCTAACTTTTACATAAGTGACCTTTAATGGTTGTGTATTTCATATTGTATTTATCACAAAAACACGTAATGCATATGACACATATCACACGAACTCTATACATAATTATACTAGTCACATTCACAATTCATAGATACACGGTTACCCATCACATTACTCAAATCACTATCACATTACTACTAAGATATACTTAGGCTTAGACTCATCACATGATTTATCACAATTTTCTCACATGAATCACATCTCACTTTAGTTCAAAAACATATGTTAACTCATCAAGGTTCCACATAATATATTACATCCACTAGACTTATCATAATCAATTTGGCCATAAGGTTCACCTACCAAAGCTATTCATATTTCATAGGCAAGTTTAAGTATCACAATGTCAGGCACAAGGTAGTGCTCGGTGTGGGTTATCCTACGCTCGACGTGTTTGAGGCTGAGGGCCTTTGGAAGAATCATGCCTAGCATGGTCTGTCCTGCACCCAACAAATTAACAACAGGGAGTCCCCTAAAGCTCTTGCGCTCGGCGTGAGAACTCTTACGCTTGACGTCAACACCACCAAGAGCACTCTGTCACACCTTGTGCCCAATGACTCCTAAATGGTGCCTTTCGTGATATAAAAAACAATCTTTATATAGAATATATGAATTATACTCACATCCATAGTTCACACGAGTTCATTTTAGAAAAAGAGTTTCTATATTCTATTTAATTCATTTTATTTTAAGGTTTCCCTATTCATAATTGTTTCTCTAATAATTTGCTTTGTCATTTAATCCTTAGAATTTCCCTCAAGAACCTACAAACACTTAAAGATTCACAGTCATAGACAATTTTACGGATCAAAAATGCAATTACAATTTACTAACATGTTCAGAGTACTAGGGAATTCACAAATAATGTAGATTTAAATAGAGACAATATCACTGATCATAACACTATTATATCACAATTAGGTTGCAAAGGAATGACAAATTTACAGTACAATTACATTCAATGTTGAGTTTAATCCCTCATGCAAATAAACACAACAACAAGCTTGGAAGCCAATCCCACTACTTGACAGATAACCCATACCTAAAGTAAGGTTCTCACTACCCCTTATCTCAACAAATACCAAACTTCAGGCACGGATCTCCGAACTTGTTTTTGGTTGCCTTTGGTTCTCCTCCTCAATGAGAAGCAAGAAGATGAAAGTCCCAAAAGTAGAGATTTTAGTGCAATTTTTTTTCTCCCACTCTAGACATACTTGGATCGATCTAACCATTGAAAACCAAGAATAATGTCCTATAAACCCAGTATCCAAAATTCAACTTAATCAACGGTGAGCAAATCTACGATTGCAATTAGAAAATCGTTGCCTGGTGGTTATGCGAATTGAACAATGAATTTCTCTCTTATCTTCTCTCTTGTGTTTTGTTGTTCACTCTCAATGATGAGCCATTTTCTCTTATTTAGAGCATAATGTTGCATATTAATGATGAAAGGCAATCCTAAATTGCTAGATTATAAATAGAGAACCCTAAATCCTAATTTTCACGTAACTTGTTGGTAAAAGTCTGTTAACCACTGTTAGTTACTCTTCTCATTAAAATTCAAATAATTATCTATTAACTAGAATTTTTTTTTTACCACTAACTCTTGTTTGCAAAGTAACTCCTAGTTAATTATTTAAAAGTCTTATAGATAAATACATAAGATAATATCTCTTCAAATAAAATAAATTTGAAATCTTTATTTTCCATATTATCTAAAAAATTCATATCTATAAAATCTCTCAATCAATCAAAACGATAATATATAATCAAATTACCTTAAAACAAATAAAATATATTTATCTCTTTAATAATTAATATAATAAATAATTTTACAAACCTTTCTTTGATTAATAAAACATCCACAATTATTTTAAAAGTCTGTAATGTAATTATAAAACTATTTAATTAATTAAAATATTTTTTTGATAATTTTAGAAAATTTAGGATGTTAGATAATAACATATTGCAACTAAAGTGTTTCATTAATGATAAGCTTTTACAAAAGCTGCACTTGCCTTAGGGGGACACAATGATTGTTAAAATGTTGGGAAATAATATATCCTATCCAATGATGTGTGATCGGTTGAAGCATATTTGGAAGCCTGTAGGTGGTTTGGATGTTGTGGATATTGGACATGGTTTTTTTACATGGTTAAATTTGATCTAGAAGGTGATCAAGAGAAAATGCGTTGTGAGGTCCATGGATGATTTTTGACCACTATTTGACAATGAGGGATTGAACTCCTAATTTTGTGGTGTTGAAGTAGAAGATTTGCCACACATTTTTTTGGATACAATTTCTTTGCCTAAGAATAGAGTATATGATGAGAATGTATTGATGGCTTTGGCATCTGTGGTTGGTAAACTAGTGCAAGTGGACATGATGGCCACAAATGTGTCTCAGGGGCAATTTGCGAGGGTTTGTTGTAGACACTCAATTTCGTCCGGACCTAAAAGACAAAGAAATGGACCTTTGTTATGAAGGGAATAAGCTCTTAAAACATGAAGACAACACGACATGATAGTGAGAGGGCCAGAAGCCCAACAAATTTGGTTTAGTAGCCTAGAAAGGGCTGTTCCAAAACCAGAACAGGCCGTTCCCAAGCTGGAATGAGCCGTTCTCAGACTGGAACAGGCCATTTCAGATCCACTAAACAACTCCATAACCCTATTTGAGAACATGCCTTTCTCAAGCAGTTTGTTATGAGTTAAATTCAAATTCAGAACGGGCCATTTTGACAACAGAACATGCCGTTCTAATTTCAAATTTAACCTGTAACAAAACTAACCAGAACAGGCCCTTTCGATCCCGGCACGGGCCATTCTGGTCAGTTTTGAAGTCTATAAATAGTAGACTCAGGCACTGCTCTCGGGGTCAAAAAAATTCATCCTAACTCCTTATAGCTCGAAATTTCTCTTTCTCTCTCCTCCTGTATTTCTTGAGAGTTTGTGAGGAATATTGTAGTGTCTTAGGTAGCCAAAAAGCACCTAAAAGTCTCCATATTTGAAGATCTAATAAAGCTCAGACAAGAGGTATTTCAATCAACGCTTCTCTCTCCTTCCAGTTATGCCCTAGTCAATCATATTGTGAGGATGTTAGGTGATTTCTACAATATTGAGTGTATCCATACTCTTCGAGAGGCAAATCAAGTTGCGGATGGGTTTGCCAAAATCGGGTTTTCTATTCCTGAGGGTGTTTTATCTTTTAATGTCCCACCTAGCTAGGCTCATTTCCT